CTGTGCCCCTGGCGGGATGGCCACCCCCCAGCGGTGCTTTCCCCGTGCGGACAGTGCTGTAGCCAGGCCGAAAGCTGGCACTGCCATGCTGCAGTGTGAACAGGCCCCACAGGCTGCTTTTGTAACCTCCACCTTGGTGATGCGCTAACAGGCGATTGCGCTCCTCACAATGGAGCCTAACGCCTCCCTAGCACCTGACTCTGGCTGCTGTTATCATCTAATCTCGCAGGTGGGCACAAATCTCGTGCGGACAGTGCTGTAGCCAGGCCGAAAGCTGGCACTGCCATGCTGCAGTGTGAACAGGCCCCACAGGCTGCTTTTGTAACCTCCACCTTGGTGATGCGCTAACAGGCGATTGCGCTCCTCACAATGGAGCCTAACGCCTCCCTAGCACCTGACTCTGGCTGCTGTTATCATCTAATCTCGCAGGTGGGCACAAATCTCACAGACCTTTCAATCCAGAAGAAGATCACGATTCGGGAGCTGGGAGGCTGCATGGGCCCGATCTGGTCCAGTTTCTATGGAGACTGCAGCTCGGTCCTGGTGAGTGCACATCCCTTGGATCTGGATTCGGCACCCCCTTTCCTAGCCCATCACCAACATCTACCCAACCGGTCTGTTGGCTCGGGCTGCACTGGAGCTGCCCTGCCTGTGGAGGGATCCCAGGTGGGGTGCTGGTTGGCCTGCCCGGGAGGAGTAGAGGCAACAGCTCCCTTTGGGAGAGGCAGTCCAGCCCATGGTGCAGCTGGGCAGAGACACAGAGGAAAAGGAAGACACTTTCCAAGACGATCCAGCAAGTCAGCAGACCCCACGTTCTGACGAGGGATGTTACGGTTAGATTAGTGGGCTAATCGGATAGTCGATGCAGTTTGCATCCACTGTTCAGTTAGTCGATGGGCGCCTTTGCCCAGGGCTGTTGCTACACTTCAAAAGCGAAAGCGCTGCGGGAGCACAGGGCCAGCGGGGGACACGAGCAGTCCCCCTCTGGGCCCATGTTCCCCACGGTGTTTCAAAGCGGAAGTGCAGCATGGAGCCCAGGGTCAGCAGGGGAATCCCCAGTTGATCTCAGGCTCCATGTGGCGCTGCCACTTGGAAGCATCCTCCCCCCCACCTATCAGAGGCAGCAAAGGGGGGGAAGCGACCTGTTGCTCACACCGCTAGTTCAGGCCACGCGGAGAAATCAGTGGTGGGGAGGGCCTGGGCTTGGCAGAGCTAGATTTAATCATCTCAGCACGTAACATCAATGTTTATTTTCAGGCATTTTCCCTGTTTATTGATTTAATTTTTCACGAGTGCAGAAGATGGACAGGCCAGGAAATTCTTTCATGAGGCTCATGTTCGAGCTGCGTTTTTCTTACTTTGCCTCTGTCATTGTGACTTAGCAGTGGAGATAATTTCACTCACTTGTGTGGCCAGTGAAATGGACATTTACTGACCCTTCCTGGGAAGTCGAATCCCGCCACCAGAGCGGAAGTGCTGCCCTTCTTCCCCAAAGCCCTCGCAGGTGTGGTCATGGCCGTGGGGCGAGGGAACCCCTCACTGGGAGCCAGACTCCGGCCTGGCCTTTCACTGTACCTGCCCCAGCTTCTTCCTGCATCGCATCCCTCGGTGTGGGAGATATCTCCCATCACCTTGGGGCTTGATTCTCCTCTCACACCCGTTACACTGCAGGGTGACTCCCACATCTCTAGCTGTGCTGCTCCTGAGCAACGGGCCCTGTGGGTATAGGCATGGCGAGGGGCCTCCTCACCCTCCCGTGGCCATGGAGTGAGGCCCCCACATTCCAGACCTCACCACAGCTGCTAGAGCAAAATGCAGGACAATGTAGCACTTTGAAGACTAACAAGATGGTTTATTAGGTGATGAGCTTTCATGGGCCAGACCCACTTCCTCAGATCAAATAGTGGAAGAAAATTGTCACAACCATATAGATCAAAGGATACAATTAAAAAAAATGAACAAATATGAAAAGGACAAATCACATTGCAGAACAGGAGGGAGATGCTGGGGGGGGGGGGGTGATATTAGAGGTAGGGAGAGTGGGATGTTTGTGAGTTAATGGTATTAGAGGTGATAATTGGGGAAACTATCTTGGTAATGGGTGAGATAGTTCAAGTGTTTGTTGAGTCCTTGAGCTTTTGAGTCCTTGAGTTTGTTGAGCTGCTAGGGTTCATTTCCCTGCTGCGACTTGGCCTCCCGTGCCCCGCTGCAGCACTGGGCTGACCCACATCTCCCACCTGTCTGTCTTGCGTGTTAATCGAGTGCTCACCTGGATCCTTCCTTCTCCTGCTTCCCAGTTCATGATCGATGCTGCCAACCCCACCCAGATCGCCGCCTCCTGCGTCCAGCTCCTGTCAGTCCTCTCTGCAGAGCAGCTCGCCTCGGCCGCCGTCCTCATCCTGTTCAATAAGATGTAAGGCCAGGGCTCCCCAGGCCGAGTGACCAGTGTCCATGGGGGGAGGGCAGGGAGGCTCTGGAACTGCTGGTGCTCAGTCCTTGTGAGGCGGGGAGGCCGGGGGAGGCTCTGGGCTCTCCACTGAGGGCCCTCTGTCATCCCCTAGGGACCAGCTGCAGCACTAGAGCCCTGCCTCAGTTTCCCAGCCGGCCTTTGGAACTAGGGCCACACAGGCTTGCCTTGAAAGCTATCCCTTTAATCCACCGAATCATCTGCTCCGGTCCTGGGTCCAACTCCTTGCTCCAGAACCGGGGATCCCTGTTCCATGGGCTCTTCCTTGTTCACAGCTCCCCAGCTTTCCCCCTCAGATCGGGGGTGCCACCTCAGCCCGCTCCCCGGCGAGAGCTGGGCAGAACTCCCCAGGCCCTTGGCTAGCAGCATGCAGATATCGGCCAGTCCTCTGCACAGCTGGGATCTGGCTCTCATCCATTTGGGGACATGCCCCTTATTTCCTGCCTGAGGTCTCCTCCCGCCAGGCGCCATCCTCCCCCAAATGATCACCGTGCTGAGTCCCTTCCTGACTGAGGGCTGGAGGCTACTCGAGTCAGTAGTAGAGACGACTGCTGCCCCTAACTGAGGGCTAGTCAGCACCCTGGGCAACGAGCTAAGTCCCAGCTTGGCTGACCGGCCTTCCTTGGGGGCAGACTGGCCTTCCTTGGGGGCAGACTGGCCCTAATGCTCTCAAAGAGGCTGTTCTCCCTGTGACAGCCCCTTGCAGGGAGGGCAAATGCCAGTTGCCCTAAGTTGGGCCATCGGTGGCTTCCCACAATCTCTCTCTCTCCTCCCCAAACGTGGCTCCAGCGACCTGCCCTGCTACATGTCCCTGGTGGAGATGAAGTCGCTGTTCCGGATTCCAGAGATCATTTCCTGTGCTAAACAGCCCATCACTGTGGTGGAGACCAGTGCCCGGGAGGGCACGGGGCTGCCCGACGTGCTCCGGTGGCTTCGCTCCACCCTCCAGGATCCCAGCTGACGTGGCTGCGTGTCCAGCTTGGGGTGTCCTGCCAGGAGACGGGGGCCGACTGACTCCAGGAGGCTCCCCCTCCAGCAGGGGCGAGGGTCCAGGAGCAGGAGAGCGCTGAGCAATCTGCCCAACATCTGGCAACGACAGGACCCGTTCCAAACCCCTCAGCATTTTAGTTGCCCTTCTCTGAACCTTCTGCATGGGAAGTTACTGCCAGGCCCTGCCAGTTCGGTCCCGTGTCTTCCTAAGGCCAGCCACCGCTACGTCTTAAGGACAGTGCATAGGAGAGCCCAGCACTGAGGTGTCCCAGCCTGGGAACCGCCCTTGATGGCCTTCGCCTGCACGTTGAACCCATCCGGCATCCCTGCTCCATCGGTGCGACTGTACCCACAAGCATGGCGCAGGCCGACAGAAGGGAGACACCCTGCGGATACAATGTTATGATTGACAGGTTACGAGGCAGTTTGTTCAAAGCATCTTGGAGTTGTGCACGTCTGGGGGAGTCCCTGGGGGCACATCCTGTCTTTCCTGGGATATGCAGGGGCCCAGCCGGACACAAAATGGGTCTAGTGCCCCAAACAGTGCATTCGGGCTTTCCCGGGTGTGCACTTACCCCACGGCGCCTCTCACTGCCTCGGAGCACCCTTCGCTGGCCGCTGCCCCAGCCTTTGGGATAGGGGCCTCTTGGTTCAGCTCCACGTCCCTTCCTGGCCCAATGCTCAGTCCACCTCAGGCTGTCCTAGGGCAGTGCCCCTGCCCTCCCTGGAAGCCCCCGATTCCCCATGGCCCACCTCGCCTCAGTGACCCACTGCCAGTCCCTGCCCTGGGGCAAACTGCAGCCTGACATGGCCTCTCAGCATTGGCGAGGGGGCGTGGGCCTGGGCTGCAGGGAAACAGCCTAGTACCTGCAGGCCCTGAGCCTGGGAGGGAGGCCAGGCCAGAGCTCCCCAGCCCTGCTCGGTCTCAGGTAGCCTCCAGCTTCCCAGGCAGCCAGCTACCCGCCCCGCTCCCCAGCGGCGCAACAGCCAGTGTGTGCTCCCTCCAGGAGCCCCTATTTATCCAGCCTCAGCCGCCAGCTCCACTCGCCACCTTCTCCCAGGGCTGGCTTCAGCCCTTAAAGGGCCAATGTGGGGCAGACACCCAGTCACAAGCCCACTGACCCAAAGCCGGGGGAGTCCCCCCGAAACCAGTCAGCCAGCCCCAAACCCTGAGCCAAGGCCAAGGCATGTGGCTTAATCTCAGACAGACCACAGGGGTGCAGGCTGCATTTCATGAGTAGGGTTGCCAGATGGCTGAGAGAAAAATACCGAACACCCTCCCCCTCCCCCCCCCTAAAAAAAAAAACTGGGAAAAAATTTTGTTGCAGGGAAAAAAAGAGGGGGGGGGGGCACAAAATTGTTGAGAAAAAAAAAACTCCAAAGAACTTGGATCACTACTTAGGGCTCCCGGCAGCAGTCACAGCCCCCCCTCCCAGCCCGGACTCCCAGCCGCTCCCTCGCCCATGCCAGGCTTCCGTCCGGTGCGCAGCCGGAAAAATCAGAAAATACCAGACATTGCACACTGCACACCGCACACTCGCACACCGCACACTGCACATTGCACACACTGCACATCGCACATCGCACACTGCACATCGCACACTGCATACTGCACATCGCGCACACTGCACATCGCGCACACTGCACATCGCACACTCGCACACTGCATACTGCACATCGCACACCGCGCACCTCGCACACTGCATACTGCACATCGCGCACTCGCACACCGCACATCGCACACACTGCACATTGCGCACTGCACATCGCACACACTGCACGTGTCCGCTATTTTCTGATTTTTTTACCGGACAGCGCACAAATACCGGACTGTCCGGTACAATCCCGTACACCTGGCAACGCTATGGACCCATGGGGCTGGGGGCAGCAAGAGGCAGCAAGCCCCGGCCCTGCTCTCGGCACAGCAGGCTGTGGGCCCAAGGCGCAGGAGCCCCCGCGCCGCTGCTCCCCCTTCTGAAACAGGACCCAGCCGTGCGGGGGGCGCTAGCCCACAGTCTGTCACCCCCGTGCATTCTGGGCTAGGCGCCGGTGCCTGAGAGAACGAGGCCAGCGCGGCGGGCGGCTCTGGGTCCGTGTCGGCAGCATCCCGTAGTGCACGCCCCTCCCCCATGCCCGAAAGCACCAGCGAGCAGCCTGCCCCTTCCCTGCTTAGCCACGCGGGCGCCATCGCAGCGCAAGGACGGTGACAGTGCAACATGCGCCCTTGACACAAGCAGCCCGTATCCGGGGGGCGTCAGCAGTTGCACGTCCCACACCCAGTGCCCCTCACTAGCCAAAGTCTGTAACAACCGCCCGTACGGCCAGGGCAGTACGGCCTAGCAGCTGGAGTCAAGAAGCACCTCTCTCGCCGGGGCAGTTCAATAGAAACGGGTGCAGGCCCCACCGGTTAGGGACTGAGTGGGGGGTAGAGGGACCCAGGTCCGCCCTACTCCACTGGGTCCCAGCCCAGGGCCCTAACAGCAAGGGCAGGTGCCACCACTAGCCTGGCTGGGAATTCTTCCACAAAGCACCAAGCTCCGTAGGCTCCCACCCTGGGCTACTTCCCACCTGCCTCCACGGGACTCCTGCCAGGGCCTGTCCTCTAGGTCCTCGCTGGCTGGTCTCCAGGCCTGGGCCCACTGGTGGGTCACCCCCAGGACCGCCAGCCAAACCGCCCTCCTGCTCGGCAGCCGGCCCCAGCCGCCCTCTCTCCAGGCCTTTCTACCTGGGCTGCAGGACTTCGGCCAGGTGAACCTGGTTAGGAATTGCTTCCCCAGTGCGGGGCTGGTGCACCCCTTCTCTCTCTCTCACACTCACTCACACTCCAGGCCTGGGCCCACTGGTGGGTCACCCCCAGGACCGCCAGCCAAACCGCCCTCCTGCTCGGCAGCCGGCCCCAGCCGCCCTCTCTCCAGGCCTTTCTACCTGGGCTGCAGGACTTCGGCCAGGTGAACCTGGTTAGGAATTGCTTCCCCAGTGCGGGGCTGGTGCACCCCTTCTCTCTCTCTCACACTCACTCACACTCACACAGTTGTTGAGAACTCGTGTTTTTACTCCGGGAACACAAGGCAGCGGAGACAGAAGGGGAATGCGGGGGGGGGGGGGGAACGGCGC